AAGATGATGATATTTATCGTCTGTTTCTTTTAAGAAAATAATCTAAAAAGAGAGACAAAACGAAGTTTATTTCTTCTCTCTGTACATTCATGATCATATACTCGATCTTAATATATAAGACAGTGAATTTTATACAAAATTGTATAAGTTCGAATTCTTACTGTTCGAAATCGACTTCACAGTGTTAAATTGTTTACTGTTTAATAGAGAATGTGAGGCAGGTTCATATCGTTGTGAGATGGGCTAGCATTACCTTATATTAAGCCTCGTTATTAATAGAAAGATTGTAGTTGCATGTAAAAAAGCATAGTGCGAAACGGTTCCGGTGAGAATTCCAATGTATATTGAAAATGATATGTGACACATGTGAAAGAAATGAAAAAATACAACAATTCATAAAAACCTAAAAGGCCGAGGTTTTTGTACATAATCCTAAATATGTCTAAGCATGATAACAGAATACTTGCATATAGAATTGAGCACAAAAAATTTTCCTAACACTCCATATGATTATAAGATATTAAGAAATTGATGAATAAATGTGTTTTTCATGTCCGTCTATTTTAGTTGTGTAGTAATCTGTTGGAACGACTATATAATAGAGCAACAACAATAACGACGAAATAACGCCTCCTCATGACTTTCGTGATTCGGTAAGATTGTATGTATATGAATGAGTAGGTGATAGCAAAAGTATATATTCAATGAATGAATAAACGATAAGTTGAAAAAAATAGAGAGAGAAACTAAGAGATCGTACTGTACGTGTCAATAAGTTGGATTTTGATTATGCATAAATGGTTTCCTATCTCTCTCTCTCTCTCTTTCTCTCTTTCTCTCTTGCCTTTGCCTTACCTAAGAAAATTCTTTCTCTCCTTCTCTTTTACTGTGAAGTGAGGAATTTATTTATGTTATTACTCTTCTACTATACTGAACTTTTACTCTCCCGCCCGTTCTTTTTTTCTTATGATCGCAGTGACATATACGAACAGTGCTTTGTCCTGTTCTGTCATGTCTCTTATGCAGTAGCACTTCATTCATATTTATATTAGCGTCCATACTCAGATGCATCTAGGCCACTGCGTGTGCGGATGTTAACATATAATATATTGAGAGAATTGTAGGTTTCTATATTAAGAATTTTCCTAGTTAATATAAGATATCTTATCTGAATTTCAATTGTATTAAATTATTCTTGTTTCTTAGTTTAATTGCATAAATTCATTAATTGTTCATTATTATTACAACTTCTGATGGTGATATATAAAATATAACTTTAAAACAAAAAAATCAATCGAGACAAGCACATAAAAAACTTGACTTGAAATTAGTCATCTATTTATGAGAAAGCATGATATTTATCGATTAATCGATTAATAAATAGATGATTCGTATACATTACTTTATTGTTTCCATTTATACATATAGGTGTCAATGAAGAAATACCTATACGATATATGATTTCCTATTATTTTAGCAAGCTAGATGAATATTCACATAATCATTCAGCTATACGATAAATGATGATTTTATATGCTGATGTATGAGTCGCATCATTTTCATTATTTTGATTAAAGTTATATTTGATGAGTAATTAATCAATTAATTCTATCATCAAGATTTGATTAAAATTATAGAGGAAAATGAAAATAATTTCAATAATTCTTTACATGCCAAACGATTAGTTAATATAATTGAAAAATTAAGAAGAATACCTTATTGAAGCTTCTTCATAGATTATAATAAAGTTTGAAGACAATACAGAACATGTTTTTCTTTCCGACATGAAATATAAATTGATTTTGATGATATCCACGATGATCAAATGTTTATTGGATGTCAGTATAGATTTTCTTGCACCTCACCCCACACCTTCACTTGATATGAATACTTATTGCATTCTCTGTTTTTCTTTCACTTTCTAGTAGACTGATGACTATACAGTTTACGAAAAATCGATTGTGACTAAATTAGAGTTTTATATTTGATGACGTTTAAATAGATTCACAATGATTATCTTACATGTACAAAATTTCAAAGAATAGAAACATAATTAATATACGTGAGTATTAATAGTACATGAAGTATTTTATCTTAAAACAACAATCAATCGTTATAAAATTTGTCACGTTTTTCGGATGTCTTCAATAACAAATATGTCTGAGATTGGTCGATGAGTATTGTTACAGAAATGTGTTCAACATACTTCCAGACACATCACTCAATTAATAATGTCTCTTTATTTTGTTCACATTCATTTATTTTTATGTTGTCAAACTAACTCCTTGTTTTTTTGAAGAGAAATTATCCGTGCTGGAATGATCATAGAAAGAAAAAAAAATAAATCTAACACCTTTCGTAGGTGTGAAAAGCAATGTAATTATACGGTTCAATACCCGACGAAGTCTAAGGACTTTGTTATATCCTAAAATAGCATTAAATAAAAGAACTGTTGCATACGTTCGAGTGAACATTTTCTATTCTGCTTAGCAAGCTAAAAGGTATAACGACTAAAAATGTAAGCTTTGTAATCGATACATATTGAAATAGTTGTTATATTAATAATCTGTCTTTTGTTACTTCTTCACAGCTCGTCTATTCAGCAGTAGTCGTTTTTAATTCACGAAAAGTAAGAAATTTTTTGAAAGACCTGAAAAAATTATTTGTAATGGTGAACAAACAGATGTTTGTTTACTCTATAAATCCATTTTCGTAGTTTTTACTCAAATATTTTTTTTTCAAGAGCTCCTATCAACGTCAAACAGTTGTTGATTTTTTCAAAAATGAATATTTATGAAAAATGAAAATTGAGGTTAAAAATGAACAAACATCTTGTTTAAAAACTTTCCAATCATTTTTTTTTTTGCAAAAGATTTAATTCTCTTAATATTACGAAGTATCAGATAATGATTATATGTATGCGATTAATAGTCACTTAAAGACTTTTATAAGATGTATTAGACTTATATTTTAAAGTCATGAAAAGTTATATGAAAAAATATAAGTTAAGAAATAGATTAGGGCCAAAATAAAATCTCTTCATCAGAAATAATACAATGTTTAAAACAAACTGATTATTTTAAGAGTAGACTATAAAATAAAGTGGTTAATATCGCTTGAACAAGTAAAGCGATTTATATGATATTTGTATGTGTTGAGTTTTAGTTAAAGTCTTATTTGATATTATTTCAATTGAGTTTTTGTTCATCAATCTTCATTTAAATTGAAGGTCGTTTTCTCTATAATCGATTATAAGCCATACTATAGTACTTTAACTTTTCGTATAATATTTAACAGACTTTTGTCTTTTTCGATAATGTTGTAATAAGTATTCTCATATGTCTATTTAAAAAAGGCAAGCCACAGTTCTTTAATTTAAGCATAATTTGAAAAAAAAATGTTTTTTTTTTTGTATTTAAATTAATAAATACAAAAACAAAATGTGTTTCTTCTTTCGTAACTAAAAATATTATTTATTAGATTTGAAACAATTCTCTATTATTTTATCAATAGATTAGACATTGATTTCCTTGTTTTTAGATATGAATATATCGTTCTTCGTTATATCTGTACTTGTGTCCATAAATTTCAAAACAAATTACAAAAAGAAGAATTTCAACTAGTAGACATTTCGATAAAGAATAATTGTTTTTCTTCAAAGCAAATGGAACACATTTGTTTGAAACTATGCCGACAGATAAATGAGTACATCAATGTTCTGAAAAAACTCTATCCATATGACCTTATCACAATAATATTACTGTACAAAAAAAAAGACCGATCAAAAATAGATGATGCTATCTGATGTCCAACATTATATTGTTTTTTAAAAATTTGTATTTCATTCAAATCCAGTTAATGAGTCACATAAAAAACATAGACTAATATTAATTTCCGTATTTATCCTTGTGAAACACGACCTAAAAGGAGTGTTGAAGTATATAGGGTAGAAATTTACACCCCCCACCATAGATCTTGACAGACATTGTTGATCTACGATCACAGACCGTAGATCAATAATGTCTCGTTAAAGTACTTCCTTATTGTCTTTCTGCAGGAATAAGTAAAAGGAGAATGAAGAAATATGTCTCAAGATAAACAGAATAAAGGAATCTCTCCCTGTATTGAGCAACAGCGTCTATATCATGTTTCACGTTTTAATCCCGCAGGGCTTGCACTAACAACTTTTTTTTTCAATAATATTCAGACGAAGATGAAGTCGTTTCTTCTCAGAATTATATATAAAACCATTGAAATAGTTCATTGCTTTATACAAACAAACTATTGAACTTGGTTTTACTAATTTTTACAATGAGATGAAAATTTCGAAGAAATATTAAATAATTATACATAAATGTTTCGATAAAGTACTTCGACAGAAATACAATGTTAAGCTAATTGATCGAAAATTCTTTCTTATTACAGAAGTGTGACTAAACATGTACGGGAATAAGTTTTTTTGGTCTTGGTTTCAGCAAAGTTTTTCTCGTGATCTTGGTTCCGATAAAGTTTTATTTTTTGACTTTGCACATGTCTAAGTGTGATGCATCTTTTTATCATGTATACTAATCATAAGAACAGATGATTGAATTAAAATATTCGATAACTTTTTGAACTGAACCATTCTTTCTTGTTTGATATCAAAAAATGATCATAATATTCTAAAATCTTGAATTGTTCAGGATGCTTTTTTGGTCTATATTTTCTCTTAGAAAGAAAATTATCTCTTAGAAAATATTATATTATCCACCTAATATTTCCATTGGTCTGAAAGTGTTTATGGAAAAAAATATTCGTATCGTCTTTCATCATTATTATTATTATTATTATGTTCCTGACAAAAAGAAAGAAAAATATATCTAACAACGTTTTTTTTTCTCTTTTGTATTCATAGACAAATACTAAAACAAAAGGTTTATAATATCACAAGAATATAGTTCTACACAAGCAAACAAAAATATTAAAAAAGAGTTTGATCAATATCAATAGAAATCAAAGCAATGCAGTATAATTCAAATGAAGTCACTTATCATAACCAATCTAACTCTGCTGACAATCAATATCCACCGACAAATCCACCATCATATGGAACAGATGTTTATCAGTAAGTACCATAGTCTTTTTGACAAACATGATTATTTATTTATATTTTTAGACCATATCCAGGACCACCACCATACGCATCATATTCTCAACAATCAATCAATAATACTGATCATACGGTATCTAGTGAACAATACAATGGTCAAGTTCTATTGAATTCACAAAAAAATGTTCTCATTATACCTGCTCATCATTTATTAACGAGAACTCGAATTTTAACAACAATCACTTTAAAACTTCAAATATTTTTTATTCTTTCTGGTATTACTTATTTACTATGGAGTGCATTAGCAATTGGTCTAGAAATTTCTATTCTTCTTTATTCTTATTCAATATATTATCGAGGTATATTTTCAGGTTTTATTATGTTAGGTACATCAATTAGTATGTTAATTATTGCATGTCGAGTATCTTATTCAATGGCTTATGTGGTACGATTATTATTTTTTGTTGTAATCTTTTGTATAGTTGGAGTTATTTTATCTATTGTTGATGTCACCGTATCACAAAAATGTGCCAATCGTATGAGCAGCAATTTATGTGATACACAAATTGGACATAGATTAAAGGTAATTATTCTAATCGAACTTTGTATTGCCACAATTCACACTGGAATCAATCTAGCAATCGTTCGACATATACAAAAGAAATCGATATCAATACCACCTGTTGCAAACACTTCTGAATATCAATATTGAATATGTAACTTAAATCATTAATTATAAAATAGAAAAACAAATTTACAGTTTTTTTTCTCTTTATTTTTTATTATACTAATATAGCATCCATTTCTTCATAGATATATAGTTTTAAAAAAAAAAACATGATTTTTAACTTCATTTATCATAAACGGATGTTTTAATATGTGCTTGTTCTTGTGTTGTAATGTAATGTAATGTATCCTTTAGAAGAATAACATGCTCTTAAAAGAGAAATATCAACCTTTTTTTTTTGTTTTCTATGATGTAAATAAATTGTCATTTTCTGTCAATAAAAATTCACATGATTATATTTTTCCTTTGTCAGATATCGATCAAAAATACATTAACTCTCAAATTAATGTTTTGATTGTGTGATCTTAAAGGATATTTGATGCAACAAAATATAGAACTTACCTGCTAGCTGAGAAAATAAATCGACAAAAAAAAAAATGAGTTTAACGCCCTCTTTTTTAATCTCCTATGACTGTCAATTGTATGGTTCATTACTTAGGCCAATATTTAATCTATTCCGATTTTCGTTTTCATTATGATTTAACAGTAGAAGGTTTTTGATAAACAAAATACTCTTCTATTGATATTTCAACAAGTACTAAGTGAGAATTTTCTAAAGTCTGAAATATATATATTATTTTGTTAAATGCCAAGTCACTCACTGTAAACATTTCTTCTGTGCGCATTATGCACTATGATGTTTTATATTTGTGAGTGTTGGACAAACTCTCTTTTAAAGATTTTCTTCTCTGTTATCTTTGTTGCCTTTAAATACTAATAGATGTTGTTATCGTTCTTTATTTACAAAAAAAAAATGTGTAGCATGTAAAACCAAAAGAAGACGCAAATTAAATAACAATGATTTTTCATTATATTAAAATATTAATAATATTTTCTGTATCAAATATTTTTCTTGCTGATGATTGTCCATCATCATTTAATATTCAAACAAATACAACTGATATATCTTTTCAAACATCATCTACTCTTCTTATTATTCTATCGAAATTTTCATACAAATTAACTATAATCGATTTACCAACACAAACAATTTTACTTCAAAGTAGTAAAGATATATTTGCTGGAGTTTGGGAAGGTACTTATGAAACTCTATATTTTGGTTATATGTTTCGTGTTGGTTATGAGAAAGAACATCGAATAATAGGTGCTTTAAAATCATATTCATGTTCATCGTCTTCCGAATCAATTACATTTTCTTATAATAATTTTTATTTAACATTTATAAAACAAGAAAATGATCGTAATATACATTTACAAATTGAATATACAGGATTTAAAGAACATTTTGATACACAATCTTCACATTATGTTTTTCCATTTTTAACATTATCATTTAAAACTCGTGATATTTATGAAGATTATTATGGTTTTGGTTCATATTGGGGTTTTACAAGATTTCGTGGACAAAAATTATATTGTTGGAGTGAAGATGGTAGTTGGTCATTTTTAAATATTTCTAGACGAATTCCACAAGCAAATGCAACTTATATACCAATGCCACTTTTTATTTCAAATCGTCAATATGCTGTTTGGATAAATGAAACTCGACGCGTTAATTTTGATTTAAGTTCATCTAATGAATGGATTATAACAACAGAATGGAATACAACAAATATACAATTTTATTTTCCAATAAAAAATTCATTTTTATCAAAATCTAAAATGTCAAAACCATTTGAAAAATTTTTCAATCTTTATAAAAAACAAAATCGAAAAATTAATCCATCGTTTACAGCATTAATTCAAGCTCGTGGTGAAACAACTCGTATACCACCATTATTTGTATTTGGACCATGGAAACAAACAGGAAATGTTTTAAGAAATCAAACTGAAATTGATGTTGTACGAAGAATGATTGAACAAGATATCCCAATTACAGTCAGAATTGGTGTGTTACATTTTTTTCCAAAAGGTGATCAACAAGGTAAGAAATGTTATCTTACAAATGAACCTTCCTAATTTGAAAACCGCTTTTGATTTCGAACTTTGTAGAGTTATGGATTTTTTACTGAAATTTTATTCTATAGCATAGTATGTACAAAATAATGGAATGATGATATTTTCGATCTGAAACTTTGCCTATAGATAGACCTACTTGTAACTAGAATGTCCTGAAAGCTTTCATTGATAAGAATATTCTCTTCGTGAAATATTGAATTCCTGAAAAACCTGAGATTCTCCAATATGAGTGAGTTTTTTGGGAATTCAATATCTCACGAACGAAGGGAATATTCTACTTACAAGCAGGCTTATCTGTGGATGAAATTTCAGGTCAAAATATCGTCATGCAATTCTTTTTTACATACAGTGCTATAGACAAAAACTTCAATAATACGACTATCACTGAGTAGAAAACCTACGTATCCTTATCCTTTTGAAGTTTTCAAAATTTCATTTAGGTCAGCAACTTCAAAGATTTATTTTTTCGAGATTTTTCTATACATCACGTTACATATTTTATTATCAAACGGAAGAGACTAGGCTGAGGGTTGGCACTTAGCTGAGAGTGAGGGCTGACCATTAGCAACTAAATTATTGCAAGCCATGGGTCCAATATCTGTACCTAGGTATGGGTAAGATACGGCTACGATATGTTGCACTCGTACAATATTCTACTGGGAACAATGATTCTCTTTGATACAGTTAAATTTGAGTATATTGTTATTATTAGATAAAACCACTGAAAAGGAAGATTTCTTCGTTAGAAATCATTTCTATTTTTAAGGTCATGAAGATGAAATTCTTCAAGAAAATGCTATTTATAACGAACTTGGTGTTACATCATTATGTTATTTTAATCCTTATGTATCAACATTATATAAAAAATTATTTGATGAATGTTTAGAAAATAATTATCTATTAAAAAATAATTCTAATCAACCATATTTATTTCCATATTTTGGTGATATAATAAGTCGTCATTTTTATGTTGGTAGTATTGATTTTAGTAATAAAAATGCATCTCTATGGTATCAAAAACAAATTCAAGAAAGTTTTGATCTTGGTTATAATGGATTTATGTTAGATTTTGGTGAATATACACCAATAAATTCTATATCATCAAATGAAAAAACTGGTCATGAAATGCATAATCATTTTATTGAACTTTATCAAAAAACCGTTTATGACATGACATTAAATTCTACAACAGTTGAACAATTACTTAATTTAAATCTAAATGAAAAAAACGATTTATCAATAAATTATCAATCAAATTTTTTATTTCATACCCGTAGTGGTTATACAAATAGTGTACAATATACTCAATTACATTGGACAGGTGATGCTAGTGCTGATTGGAATTCATATTCAGGTTTACCAGCTCATGTACAAGCTTGTCTTGGTATTGGAATTAGTGGTGTACCTTATTGTTCAAGTTCTATTGGTGGTTATGTTTGTGAATTTTATCCAGATTTAACAGTAGAATTATTAACACGTTGGTTACAAGTTGGAACATTTTCTGGTTTTATGCATGATGAAACTGAAGGTTCAGCATGTACCCAAGAACGTGTACAATTATTTACAAATAATCAAACTGTATATGTTTGGCGAAAATATGCAAAATTACGAACACAATTTTTTCCATATATTTTTACATTAGCACATGAAGCACATGCAACTGGTCTTCCAATAACAAGACATCATCTATTAACATATTATAATGATGAAATAGCTATTCAACAAGAATATCAATATACATTTGGTAATGATTTGTTAGTTGCACCTATAGTAAAACAAAATCAATTTCTACAAGATGTTTATTTACCATTCGGTGAGAATTGGATTGATCTATCAACAAATCTTATTTATGATCAAGATAAAGATGGTCGATATCGAATTGGAAGATCTGATATACTTCATGGTGGTCAATGGATAATGAACGTTAAAGCTGATCTATTAACAATTCCATTATTTGTTCGAGCTGGTTCAATAATTCCTCTTATTGATCCAAGTGTTTTTACATTAAATCAAGGTCAACCAATATCAATTTATGATCGATCATATATTTTACATTTATGGATTTTTCTTAATGAACAATATGAAGCTAATGGCATTGTTTGGGATGGATTAAACATGAATATAAATGCGTGCAATTTAAATAAATCATTATGTATTAATATTGTTGATCCTCTACATAGATTATTAATTTTACAATTACCATTTAATAAATCGCCAAGTTCAATATCATCATCTAGTATGCAACCATTTGAACAAGTTAGTGATTGGCAAATTGTAGCAAAAATTTTACCTAGAGAACAATTACAAAATTGTTTTACATACGATGAAGAAAATCAAGTTATATGGATAGCTATTGTTCTTTTACAACAGCAATCATCATTTCAATGTCAAATTGATTTTTAAAGAAATTCTATTTTTATTTTATTTTATTGTATTTTATGTATATATATAATATTAGTTACTTCATTTAAAAATTCTTTTTTCTATAATACAAATCATATTTGATAAACTTTTAAAATCGTTAAAATAATTTAATCTAACATAAGATGTCACTATCTCGTCATCTATTTCATACAAGTTATATGAGAAGGTATTTGTTATTTGTTAGTATTCTTTCGAAGGTGATTCATTGTGGACATAGCATATCATCACTATATGTTACTGATAAGAAGTAAAAAAAAATCGAATAAAACTGTGAGCGCATGTTTTTTTTTCGGTTCACTATAGTGACCTTGTTCTTCATCTTATTACTCTTTGATCGAGTAAAAGCAACATTCTAAAATTATTCTTATTTTTTAGATCTTCTTTTTTTTTGAAATATTTTTCATTATGACATTTCATCAAGCCGAACATCCTCTCTTGGTGATTCCAGGATCAATCGAAGTTAGCGATGATGTCTTACTTGCTAATGCAACACCATCTCAATCACACATGTCAAAAAGTTTTGTACAAACTTTTGGAGAAACAATTAAAATGTTTCGACAAGTACTTGTTACTGAACGTGG